TTTTTGTTAAAAATTTCCAGAACCACACAAGTACTTCTTAATTAGACTTGCAAATGAGTAATGTTTTTCTTCAAGGGGGAAAATAGTTAAAATATTACTGGAATTTTTGTGCCTTTTTCACTTAGTTAATAGTGGGGAAAGTTGGCAATAAAAGTTTGCTTTTGAAACTTTGACATATTTTAGTAAGTTCTGATTTACATATGAAGTCATCCTCTGACAATTCCAAACAAATGTCTTTTCAAAGCAAATCCACTTTTTTGTCTGTGTGCCTGGTGGCTCAAAAAGGACTGAACAGACTTATCTTGCTTTCTGCCATTCAAAATACTGGAAAGTTGTAATCTCAATGGCCTTTTTAATATGTTAAATAATTTAATAATATATTTTAATAATGTAACAAGTACCACCTTAATTATAGATTTTAGTGGTACAAACATTACCAACAAATCACCTACACTTTCTCCAAAGAAGCATTACTGAAGAAAGCAATAAATCTGAACTTATATTCCTGGTAATATTAACACATAACATAGAAAAAGAAAGCATGAAGTAATACAGCATTGAGATAAAAATCTTTATACTATTCAGACGCTGTAAGAACTAGAAGCAAAATCTAACTCCAAAAAGTAGGTTTTTAAACCCAAACTGACCTGAACTTATTTCCAAGGGAGGTCAAAATTCTTAGTATTTATTCACATAGTAGATATCCAATTCATATTGAATATACACATTTTTTAAAGGATTTCTAGTAATTTCATTTGGCTTGTAAGTAAAGATCTTGCATTTTTAAAAAGATAAATGATGTTTGACAATGAAATTTTGTACTTTTGAATATTAAACTGTGCCAATAAGCCATTTTCTTGATATCCCTTAAATACCATAGTACAATTCAACTAAAGTGCAGATTGTAAACCGTCTTAAATAACACTAATGCAATGTGCACGTAATGAACAATACAGCTAACAATTTTCATATAACAGATAACATCTGGGGGAAATGTATATTGGTAAGTTATGCAAAACTAATTTTCTAGTGACCACATCTGTAGATGTTATTTATCGTATGTTCACTTAACAGTCCATTATTCTGTTTAGAAATCTATTCTCTTCTTTATTAGAGATTTTAATGTACTCACCTTGGTTCAAATGTTCTGCTCATTATCAGAAAAAATATAAATGGCATTCACATGGAACAACATGATTGTTTTTATTATATCCATTTGTGTGCAAGCATTCAAAATGGCAAGAGAAACACATTTATTGCTTTACATTCAAAGTAATATTTAGGGGGTATTTGAAAGTCAAGCAAAACCAATCATTTGGCCAAATGGATATATGTGTATAATCAGAAACTCCTGATTTTTAATCTCAACATTAGGCCCCAGGCAAGTCACTTAAAGTCCTTCCCTTTGTTTCCTGATCTGAATATTATGGGTGCTATTCTCATGGAAAAGGTGGGGGTTGCTAAGTCAGGGTACCAAATAGGAGTGGTTTTTTAATAAACTTGCTTGATCCTTTTTCTGTTTTTATTTTTCCAGATTTAAGAGGTAACATATTAGACTTTTGAGGAAAAAAATATGAGACAATTACAATTCTACAGGAATGTATAAAAATAGTTATAAAACTAGCTTTATTTAATTTGCTTCAACTATTCATAGACTTGAGGAAATTATAACGTTCTTTCAAAAAATCTAACTTAATAAAGCTGACCATGTCTCTCTGTTTTAAATAGATTTTATTACAGAACCAGTGATGTTGTAAAACATGAGGTTTTGTTAAAAAAAAAATACAAAGGCCTAATTGTATTTTTTTTAAGAAAGTATTGCATCAGATGGTTTTTCTTAACCATATTTGCTGGCTTTGTGTTCTCACACAATTATTGATTCTAATTTTCCCTAAACTTGTTTTAAAAAAAAAGTCTGCCATTTTTTAATGGGGAAAAATCACCATGATGCTTCTGGGCATTGTTTATTTCACACCATGTATTTGGAAGTTAACTTCCTATTATTAATGAAAATTTTATTTCTACCTTCAACTGAAATTGAGATATTTCTTTTCCTTGTAGTAACTCACTAACTGCTAAATGTAACTCTTCATAAAAGAGAAAAACAGCTGTGGTTTGGTTTATCAATAGTATGCAAAACGCCTGAAGAAAAGAAATTCTCACCCCCGGTTTTTGTACACAAATTAAATTGATCTCATAGTTACATAAGCTACACTCATAAAAAAACAAGGAAAAGAAAAGCCCACTGTCATTTAGAACTTGAGCTTCTCAGAAAAAATGGGAGCTTCACTCTACCAAAGAAATGATGATGTGGAGCTGTGAAGTGCCAAGTTTCTAAGTGTGTGCCCAGTACACACACACACACACACCACACACACACACTCACGCACACACATGCCAAAAACCAGAAAACTGGGTAGCTGACAAGTAGTTCAGATGAACCGTATAAAGAAATCTAGATCACAGGGATATGAGGGATAAAATGAGAGACTTGAACTCAAATATCCATTTGCATTTAAGTGTATAACCTGATGGGAAAGGGGCACTAAAGGGCAGATGGTAGAATCTGCTGTTACCAGAATGGAGAGGCTATCTATTAAGAACTTCACCAGGGGAGGGCACATTAGCAGAAAGTCCTGAACTGTGAATAGAAAAACATAGCAAGCAGTAAGACAAATATGATCATAGCAGACAAAATTCTACTTCATTAAAAGAAAACATTTTCACCTTGCAGAGCTATGTGCCTGCAGTAAATTCAATAAACTACAGTTTTCTTCTTTTCAATGACTCACCCACCAAACCTGGCACCCCAAACTTTGTTTCTTACTGTATATTAAAGTCTACACCCCTAAGTAAATACCTCATCGTCTTCTATTGCTTCTGATTGCGACATTCAGCTTGTTTATTTTACCTGTAATATTTCTAAAGACATTAAAAGGTGTCTAGCTGTGTCCTTTCCCTAGCTTGGGAAAATAAAGAGCAATAGAAGATGTAGGAGGATACAAACCAAGAGTGGTAGAAAGAGGTGCAAATAATTTTGTGAGAAGATAGAAACCTTTGTATGACCTACTTAGAAAAGCAATGGTTTTATGAATGTGATGAGAAAAAATAACTATTCTTAATTTTTTTTTCAGTATTCTAAGTTTTTTGTTTGTTTGGTACCAGGAATCAAACCCAGGGTGCTTAACCACTGAGCCACATCCCCAGCCCTTTTTATTTTTTATTTTGAGATAGGTTCTTACTAAGTGGCTCAGGGCCTTGTTAAATTGCTAAGGCTGGCCCTTAACTTTTGATCCTGTTGCCTCAGCCTCCCCAGCCATGGGATTACAGACATATGCCACGTCTCAATATTCTGTTTTGATTAACATTTAGTCAACTTAAGATAAACAACCTGGAATGACATCACCTAACAATCAGAATGAAAATTAAAGTGCTTAATAATATCAATAACTTCCAAGTACGGCAACTTGATGTTGTTTACTGAAAACTGCATAGGCCAAGGGGTCAATACACCAGGGTTTAAGTCCCAGCCCTGTCACTGAAGAAGTATTTGACCTTAGACCAATCGTTTAACCTCTTCATTTCCAAATCTCAGTGCCTATAAAGTTAGGAGACTTCAGTGCTTCCATTTGATGACATTAAGCAGCCACTTCCTATAAACTCAAGTTAAAATTAATAATACAAATTCATTGCAAAATACCTACAAATTGGTATGGCCAAGAAATAACTTCATTTCCAGTACATTCTGAAACTTTTCTAAATAAAATATTAATATTTAAATTATGAAACATAACATATATGTTTATTTGAAATATTATGAATTTAGAAATGAACATATAATACTTCGTGATTTTTTCTAAGCTCCAGAAAATGGTAATTATTTGGTGAATTCATATATTCTCAAAGTTTTGTCTTCAAACTTGTCAGCATACAGAGAAGTACTTCTCAGAACTGCACTCATAAGCTCACGAGAATTTACCATATAAACTAGAACCATTTATTGATTTACAATGAGGAGTGTAAAAGGCATAAAAACCAAAACACTCAAATGGGCATGTCTTCACAGATCAATTGAGATGGGAAATCAAATTATGGTCAAAATGCTGCATGTTAAACATGGAATCAGAACATAAAGAACAGATGCTAGTACTTCATCTCCTCTTGCTCTTCAAGTCCTGGTGGGTTAGGCATCGCCAAAGTTGACTCTCCTTTTTCTTCCCTTTCAGTGGTGACTACCAGGCTCCCTCCCACTGACACACTCTTGCAAAAGAGTTGTCAGCTGATGTTGGTGAAGTCTTGTCCTGCCCTCTGTGTTTCAGTAAATCTTTCTGGCTTTACATATTAATCTTTCCAGAGTGGTCTCCTAGTTTCCAGGTTCTTGATGGCTACTCCAATGCTCCCCACAAGAACAGCTTCATTCTGCTGAGTAATATCAATCACCACCAGGCTGTTACTGGATGTAATAAGCACTGGAGAAGATATACATGGGCTCTAAAACTTGGTTCTCTACCTACAGAGAGCTTGTAGGCAGGAGTAAGGGGCTGAGGCTTGAGACAAAGGCCAAAGCAATACAATATGAAATTCTACACCATTGTGTGTAGAAAAAGAATGGGAAAAGAAAATACCAGTTGACAGTAGTTGAGAGAGATGGAGTTCAAAAGGCAACAAAAAACCAAGAGGGCGGTGGCATCAAAAATGCAGAAGAGCAGGAGGATTGTGAGTTCAAAGCCAGCCTCAGCAACTGAGCAAGGCCTTAAGTAATTCAGTGAGGCCCTGTCTCTAAATAAAATATTAAAAAGCACTGGGGATATGGCTTAGTGGTTAAGTGCCTCTGGGATCAAAATCTGGTACCAAAAAAAAAAGAAAAAGAAAAAAATTAGAAGCGATAAGCACTTAAAATACACCAGACTTGGAAGTATGGCAGATACATAAGGGAACTGGCTGAAATTGTTGTTATTCACTGAAGACTTTCATACTTTAGCTCTTCTCTTCCTCTCCAGCAAGTGATAGAGGTTGTCAAGACTTCAGTCCACCCATTCCCAGAGCCTCTGGTAGAAGGAATCTCATTTGATATTCATTCAACATTCATAGAGCCACCCTCAACCTCAGATATGGAAATGAAGGTAGGTTCCCTTTTGTCTTTTCATTCACCCTACCTCAGGGATCAGGGAGAAAGAACAAATGTTCTTCCATTTTCTTGGCCTCTGATTTTTCTCAGCCAGACATAAATATTCCTTATAGCAATTCAAAGATGGGCCAAGTGACTGTGTTTGGGCAATTTTAAAATCTTCCACCCTTTGTTCCTTAACCTCTATCTTCACTTTCCCAAAAGTGGGTACCACTTGGCACCATGACTGGATCTGCTGTAATCCCCCATGAATAATGAAAATGCAGAATAATGTCAAATCAAAACATCATTCCTGATAGAATATCACCCAATCGAAGCTTAAGGCTCTATATAAATCTCAGAATACTCTAGAAATCTCTTCAATGTTATATGCTTTCAATATTCTAGGGGTTGGATCAAGAACAAGGCCCTGAGCACTCCCAGTCAGAATCTGACACTTCAGACATGGATCCTTTAGTTGGCTTCACCATTGAAGATGTAAAATCAGTCCTGGCTCAAGTCACAGAAGACATTTTAAAAGGCATTCAGGTACTCAGTATTGATAGTATATTTAATTACCTTATTATTAATTAGTCAAACTCAGCATCTGTAAACCCTGTCAACACTGTGCCATCAAGAGTAATACTTATGATGGCGTTCAATTGAACATCTGCACATAATTCTCAGTTAAGTCAACAAGATCACAACATAGATTTGCCTATAGCATCTATTATGGTGTGGGTTGTCAGTTTGCAAAATCATTCAACATGGAAATTTAAAAGAAAGGTAAAAACTCTTGAGTATTGGGCTGGGGATGTGGCTCAAGCGGTAGCGCGCTCGCCTGGCATGTGTGCGGCCCAGATTTGATCCTCAGCACCACATACAAACAAAGATGTTGTATCTGCCGAAAACTAAAAAATTCTCTCTCTCTCTCTCTCTCTCTCTCTCTCTCTCTCTCTCTCTCTACAACAACAAAAAAATACTCTGAGCATTGCTACACTGTAAACATTGCGTATGCAAGAGTAATTGTACATTTCTAAATAGTATACACTGAAAATCAAATCATCATTCTTAACTAAGTCTTCTCACCAGCTTTCTGAAATGTCTTAAAAACCCTCTCAGATAGTTTGTTTCTTTTCACATATCACTAGTATTATTTATACCAACAGTTACATGAAAATGGTATTAACAGTTACAGTATCCCAGTAGCCACAGTGATCTATCAGCCAGCTTAGCTTTATGCTTAGTTCTTTCTAATTCTGCCCCAACAAACAACCATTTCTACCTAACATTAAAGATTTACAGGAATTCACATAATTCTCCAGGCCACACGATTAAATAAGTAAATTGCATATTTTTGAGTGAATTTGCAATTTCTTAGAAATGGCCATAAATCAGCAGGACAACACAGTGCATATTTAAAATACTAATGCATCTCAGGGGAAGACTTAGTTGTTATCTGAACTTGATACCACATATAAAAAGCACACGGTATTAACAACTAATTTAAAAAGAGCAAAAGATTAGCTTGGCATAAGCATACTTTGTTACTTGTTTAATCATCAAATGTTATTGCACTATTTACACGAACATTTAATGATTTGGTGCCAACAGAATCAGCCAAAGTCCTCAGCTTAATAAGGGGTGTTTAGTGTTTACCAGAAATAGTGGAAGAACACGTTTTACACAAAGCTTTATTGTTAACAACCCCATGAATGTAATAACTGGTTACTGTGTGCAAGGGCAGAGTGCAGTTGAATTAAGTTGAGTTCAGAACATATCTCCTCTTTAGATTTGATAACATTTCATCTAAATATAGTTTATGTATAATCATGGCCCTGGGCTCCTTTGCAATCCTGCGGCTCTGAAATTATTGCCGAGAAACTACTAGAAAGCAATAGAATTGTTTGCAGCCCCCCAAAATTGAAAACATCTTTACCAAGGTCATGTTCCATGTTGTGAACAGTATGTTTTTAACTATTTGCTGACATTTTTTTTCAATATTAGAGTCTGGGGCATTTATACCTCTACTCTGTAACAGAAAGAATACGATTGCTGTATGTGCACATTATCTTCCCATTGGCCTGAAGCCATCCAGAAGTTCATTAGCTTGCTCACCTAAATGTAATTAGGCACAGAGAGAATCTGGACCAGAGGAGAGAGATGCAGCTCCTTCAGGTACCAGGATTATTTCCATAATAAGTGGATCTGTGGATGTCAGCATGGGCCAAATTAGTGCCAATTTTTCAATGAAATGGCAGGATGATGTGGATTTATACAATGTCTCAAGATAGCTAACCCCTTTATGTATTTTCTCTCAGTAATCCTTATAAACTCAATGTACGTGAAGAGGGCATTTGACCAGGTAAAATAGAAAATGAGGCACAGAAAGATTAAGTCATTTGCCCTTAGAGTTTTCAGGGTCGACAACTGATGAAAGGTCCTGAATGGGAGCTGGATTTTAGTCCTAATTCCAATGTTATCCACAAAAACCACATAATATTTAATATCATGGCCAGAATAGCTTGGATTTTAATACACTTGTAGGGTGATACTTTTTCAATGTTTACACTTGTGTCTTGGTCAAATTCCAAGTTGAGTAATTACCTTTTGCTCACCTAAATTTCTCCTTCTGTTTCAGATAGGTCAGTTATTTTCCGCTTCTGAAACTCGACTTCCAGTGTCCCCTGGTTCTAAAAACTGCCACAACCCTTTTCAAAGGCAGTTGTGTGTCAATGATTGGTGTATATTATATATCCCTTCTGAACAAACCTGCTGTACAAATATTTAGTGAATTGTTACTTGTAAGATGTTTTCAATTTTCCCATGATTTTTTTATCCATCTTTACTTAAAAGTCATACTGTTTTTACAGTATTTGCAGAAAAAGGCAGTAGAGAACTCATGTTTTTAACACAGTTTTTTCAGAGCTTATTCTCTAGTATGGTAACAAATAAAATTCATCTTCTATAATATATAAATTTTGGAAAATGTAGCATGAGTCTTTACTTTTTTATGTTGATCCACTTATTTTCCCATTGACTCACTTTATGGTTTTAGAGATTTATTAAGAATGAAGTTATCTTGGCCCTCAGATGTTAATTAAAATAACACTGAATAGAGCAAACATTTTAAGCCTACATAGTTTACGTACTTTAATTTTAAAGATACATTCAAAATGAAATTATTTTGGCCCTGAGTTATATAATAAAAATTACACCCAATGGAGTAAACTTTAATATATTTAAAGAATTACATTTCAGAGAAATATGAATGCTAACACTAAATTCTTACATTGAATGTTGGCTGTTGGCCCTGTCTTAGCAATAGGGTAAAATAACATAAAACCTTGAGGGAAGTCTGCCACACTTAAGGAGAGAACTCTAAGTTTTTCTTAAAATGTCTAAGGACATCTTTAGGTCAACTTTGAATTTTCCAGGTTAGGAAAGTTGAGTGAGATCACCTGAAAGTAGTTGTTTTAGTTAGCTTTGTATTGCTATGACTAATAAACTTGACAAGAACAACATAGAGGAGTAAAAGCTCATTTTGGCTCATGATTTTAGAGGTTCAGTCCATGATGAGCCAACTACTTAACTCTGGGCCCCAGCTGAGGCAGAATATCATGGAGGGAACCTCCTCAGTTCATGATCCAGAAAACAGAGAGAGCTCTGCTCAGCAGGGACAAAATATAAGCTCAAAAGCCCATCCCCAGTAACCTACTTCCTCCAACCATGCCCTACCTGCCTACAGTTACCACCCAGTTAATCCATTCAGGTGGATGGTTCCACTGATTAGCTGTGACCTCATCAGTGGATTGTGATTTCAAAATCTCTCTCATAATCTAATCATTTCGTCTCTGAACATTCTTGCATTATCTCACGTTGAGCTTTTGGGGGACAGCAAAAATCCAAACCAAAATGTAGGGGCCAAAGACTGTTGAACTGAGGTCATGGGTTGTACATTCTTTCCTAAAGGAAATAGAACCAGACCCAACCCTCGTGGTTGTGGGATAGCTATCTGTTTATCAGTGTTCTGAGAAATAACAAGGAAACACGGCAGACCACTGAAAGCCTGTCCTTGACCTGACATGGAATCTTTTGATCCTGGCTCTGCTGGTTATGCCCAAACTTATGATACTAGTACTGATCACCAAGGTCTGGAGATCTTAAAGGTTACTCTCCAGGTAGTGCACCACTCTGTCAGGTGCACCTTCATGAATCTTTTCCCCAAGGTCTATACTTGTTTTGGTAAAGTCTGTCTCATTGAAATACCTGAAAAAGCTCTAGGTGAGGTATTGAAAGAGAAGCTGGTAGAAGATAGTCCATCTTACATTGAATGCTGGCTTGTACTTGTCTGAGATTATTGGTGGGCATAGAACATTAATGAAAGTGCAAAGAATGAATTGCTTGGGTGGAAAAATCCTTCCTATTCTTTTGGAATTGTAACAAGATTATTTCTTCAAACCATTTCAACCCCTACATGATCCAATATGTTCTGTCCCACAAATTTACTTTAATGAAGTGGGAGTAACAAATGATTAAAATATTCTATAACAAGATATCAATGAAATGCCATTTGTGAAGTATATCACAAAATTGGGAGTTGGAATCACGAATTTATAGTTAGGATAAAATGTCAATTAAATCTTATTCTCCTACCTAATTTTTCACAAAAGGACTAACAGCCAGAGTGGTTAAATGACTTGTTCAGTGTTACATATCTAAACTAGTACATAGGTCTCCCCACTGATAGACTAATGTTCCCTTCAACTCTACTGAAATTATGCATGAGGAGATTTAGTGAATCCTGAAAAATAAGAGTTCCCTTGTAACTTGAAGGATCATTCCTTTCCTCTTCTACGCAACCACAAATAAAGGAAAAGATAAGACAGCAGAGTCTAAATTTTGATCCCAGAGCTTAAAAAACTTAAACCAAGAAACACTGATTTTCATATTAATTCTAAATCTTGAATTGTTGACATCAAAGTAATCTTGTCAGAAATAGCAAGTCATCCTATGAAGGAAAAGCAAAATCTCATCAAATAAGATAGCCATTTCAGATGTATTATAGTTACACTCTTAAAACTCAATAAATAGGTAAATAAATACAAAAATTATATCAGTGCCTAAACTAGTTTTGATATTTAATTTTTTTCTATCTAGTTCTTGCTTTTTTAAAAAATTTTCTGGGGATTGAACCCAGGGCCTCAAACATGCTAGGCAAGCACTCTACCATCAAGCTACATCCCCAGCTTCCAGATTTCTTCAAAAAAAAAAAAAGTTTCTCAAAATACAATTACCCTAAAGACTTCAAATTATGTTATATATATATATATATATATATATATATATATATATATACACTAAACTTTGAAATTATTAACATGTATTTGCACAAACTACTCTTTCATACACTCATAGATATTTTAAAATCACCAAACAGCAACAAAAACACCAATTTTGTCATGTCAACAAACACTGGTTTCTCTGTATGTAATTTTATTATCCATTGTGATAAATGGAGACATTTCCAGGGCTACTAATGTTCAGATAATGTGTAAGTATTTCTGGAATTGTGCAGGTAGCAATGTTAGTCCACAGAATATCACTGCCAGAGGCTAAATGCTATCACAGCTGAAGCAATCACTAAAACCTGTCAGCTACTGTGTACTTTTTTCTACCAAAAATATACCACAAAGTGGCATCATTCCAAGAGTTATAATGTATGATGAATACTCTTAATTATGAGAATTGTTCTAATTGTGAGATTATTTGTGTAGTTATTTCACAACAGAAGCTTTCTGGGATCCTATTTAGAATGCATTACACAGAAGACAAAAACATTCATTGCAGAGGGGTGGAGGGACCAACAACATTGCAATAACTGAGCCCAAAGCAGTTATTCTGATTCGGTGCTTATTGGTAAAGTCTGTCTGAAAATACAGATAAATTATCCTATCTTCCAACACAAGGCTATGTGAAAAATGGCTGTCCAAATACCACTTCCTGTTCATAGTAGACATGCTATACATTGGGAATGTGCAGAGAAATATGATAAAGTGTTATCACATCACTACAGGCTGAAACACGGCTATGTCTGCAAAACAGGAAGGTGTGTGAGGGATAATGTCTGTCTTTAGGCACTATAGTATGTCAAAACCACAAAGACAATGTGCAGCGAAAGATAGCTCCATCATAACCACTTTTTTATGATTGTCTTCACAGACCGAGATAAACGAAAAGCTGCAAATACAGGAAGAGGCCTTTAATACACGTATAGAAAAATTGAAAAAGGCCTGAGGACTCAGAACAAGAAGAGTGATGCTAAACTTCACAGAAACAAACAAAACAAGCCAGAATAATAGATTCTCTCAAGCATCACATCTCCTTCATTTAGTTGTGAAAGGAAAACCAAGCCCGACTTTTTACTATCCTAAGTAATTAGAATAGTATTGGCCCCAATTTTGCCATCTCCTATCCCATAACAACCTCTGAATTTATTGCACTGCATGTAATGAAAGTGTTTTGTGTACAAGAGTTTGGAGAAATTATATATAAAAATATAATTACTTTTCTGATAGTCCTTTTACATTTTGACTAATAAACACTATTCATCTTTTCATCTTCAATAAGAATGACGCCAACATTTCTAAATAGCCAGAAATAAAGAAAAATAATAATAATTTTATCCATATTGATCCAAATGAACTGTCACATTACTGGAGTACTGTGAAAAGATTTCAGTATCACACAGTCGAAGACAAAACTTGCCAAACAATGACAATTCAAATGCATATACGAAGGGATTTTTTTTTTTACTTAAATCATTTGGTTTTCTTATTTAAACGTTTCAGTGTGAAACCAATTTTCTGAAATTATATAATGCAGTTTGAAGCATTTTAATTTATTCTGAACTGTATTTGTTATTTCTAATCTTGTTACTCTCCCTGGAGAATACATGACCTATATAAAAAGAAGCAATGTATAAACGGTTATTAAAGACCAACCTATATATAGATTGTAAAAATCTTAAATACAAATCAAACTCACACAGCTCCTAAAATTAACCATTTTATTGCAGTGCAATAATTGAACAATATCTCACGTCTTTAAATACCCTTTTGAACATAAAATTTCAAAATAAAAATAGCCATGAGCCCAGTGATTGTTCCTAGTTAGACTAATTAATTACTGTCTAACCCCCTTCCAAAGTTTTTGGACTTCAGAGTATTCTGGAATGAGGGCACAGTGTGGCTAGGAGAGGGTGATTTCTCAAAATTTTCCAAATGCGTCTGGGTAGCACTTCGTTGAATATGGGTGATACCCTTGCCTTTTCCATTGGTATCAAAGGAACTGCCCCAAATATATTCATCTGGGACAGAAACAGACCTGGCAGCTTTGGGTCATTTTCTAACTATTCTGAGTAAGTATAGTAAGCATAGTCATAAACCATGTTTATTATTCATTCAGCTCCAAGGCTGGGTGACTAGAGATGTGTTTCTTCCCTGACCTGTCCTTCCTGAATAAAAACTTTAAGGGCTGTAGGAGACCATTAGGAGGGCTCCTAAGTCTAGATTCTCTCAGCAGTCTTTTCTCCTGGGAAAGAGTGAAACTGGGGTAACCGCAAACAGGGAATAAATCTTCTAGAAATCACCAAGCACAGCTTCAAAGGCAATCATTGGCACAGAGTGGACCTGAACTTCTAATAAAGACTGTTTATTTGAGCAAGGAAACCAGGAGTCTAAAACCAAATCAAAAATAAACACTACATAGAGACAATATACTCCAAATATACTCGAAGCTGAGCTTCTGTACTGAGTCCTCAGATCTGATGCTGGCTTTGCCATGGCTGGTATATGACCCTGGGCAGGCTACTCAAACTCTGTTTGCTCATCAATTAAATGGAGATAATATTTAGGAGGATTCAATGAATTCATATTAAAGGACTTTTATTGTTTCTGCTACCTCTTATGAATGCACACCTCCACTGCTCCTCCCTAACACCTATTGTCCAAGAGTTGGATCCACCTCTCTCCCTGAAATCTCAGCTTCCTCTGTCTCTTTCCTGGCACCTGTGGATGGGAATATCCTCCCACTCTTCTGAGGTCATCCCACAGTGACCACTCTGCCCCTCTGCTGCCCTACACCTTTCACCAGAGACCTCTGCCACAGTTCAAATTTAAGACCTAATAATAATAGGAAGAAAAGCAATCATAGTAGAAGCAGCCAGAAATTTTAATTCACATTCTCTAAGCTTTTCAATTAATACTGAATTGATAAAGGAACATTTGTAAAATTTAAAAAATTCAACACATACAATAATGAAAAATAAATCTCTCCCTAGGTACCCACATTCTTCTCCCCAGAGGCAACCACAGCTTTCATCAAATGCTTAGAAAAGTATTGTTTGCCCAAACAATTGGATGTTTGTGAAAGTGGTCTTTTTAAACACAATTTGCATTGCTCTTTAGATTGTTCATCAAATAATGCAACTGGGAGATAATTCCCTGTGTCAGTTCATTTTAATGAATATATATTTCATTTTACAAATGCCCTCACTTTTTAAACAGGTCCTGTTGATGAATTTTTAAAAAATTATTTCCAGGACTCTGTTGTCACGGTGCTGCATTGCCATCCTTGTGCATATATCTTTGTGAATATTTGTGTCTGTGCCTTTGTGTGAAGTTCTAGAGGAGGAATATCTAGAACAAATTGTGTGTGCATTTTGGATTTTGATAAATATGGTCAAATATTTCACCAGTTTGTACACCCACCAACAGCATATGTGAATGTATCTGTCTCAACATTGTCACCAAGAACATATATTAGCCAATTTTTTATCTTTGTCATAGTAATAGATAGAAAATGATTTCATATTATTGTTTTAATTTGTTTCTATTGTTTTACTCAGATGGATTAGGCACTTTTTTATATTTTTATAAGTAAATACACACACAAACACACACACACACATTTAATCATCCTCATGGCCATGAAAGACAGAAAGATATAGATATCGTTGGCCTCATTTTATCTTGATAGAAACTAAAGTTTAGGCATATTATTAACTTAAACCAAGTTACACAACTAATAATTGGTGGGTCAGTGCCTCAAACCCAACTGACCTATTTTATAGATCGTGAAGCTGGAATACAGAGACATTTTAAGTAATTTTCCCATGAACATACAGTTAGTAAGTGGTAGAATCAGATTTTGAACCTGAGCCTATATGATTATACACATGCCTAAATGTGTTCTTCATCTATACGTTTTTTATTAAACATGAAATAAAATGAAACTGATCTTTCTTTTTCCTTATTAGTTATATTAAGGGTACAAACTTGCTTATGTCATCAGCATAGTTAAGTATTTAAAAATTTGGGCAAGCATAGATTGCATTACCCAATTCCATTCACTCATTCCTATATCATATAGTTATTAAACACCTCTTATATGCTTGGGCATTTAGTGGTGAGCTAAACAGACATAGTCTCTGTCATAAAAATCTGTCACAGTTAATACTAACTGTGACAAAGATATGCTTCAGAGAGTTATGAGAGTATAGAATGAAGGAACTTGGTTTAGTTAGAGGTCAGGGAAAATTCCTGCAAGTATTGACATTTGGACTGTGGCCTGAAAGATAGATAGAATTTAAGCAGAGACAGGTAAAAGAAGATGCATTTCAGCCAGAGAGAGAAAAACATGTATAAAGTTCCTGGGATACAAGTTAAGGCTACACAATTGACCAGAGCCAGAGGTCTCACAGATTCACAGACCATGTTACAGATTTTTGTTTTTAACCTAAAAAGTAAATGGGAAATAGTTGATATGTTTTAATGACATAAGTTGTGTTTCTAAAAAATTTCATCTTTCTGGTGCCAGGATTTCTATCCATGAAGACCTGGGAAAAGATAATATCCTCATAAAAATGATTCCTCCTGCTAATTAAGATATAATACCCCTTTTAGCAATTTTTAAAAGTGGAGAAATAAGGAAAATTTGACTTTCCTAAAGTCACAGGGTCCACCTATGCTAAGTGGTCTTTGGGAAGCCCTATGAAAAGCTAATTAAAAAATAATACCTACCTATCACTGAGACCAGAGCAGACTTTTTCTTATCATCTATAGTTGTAATGCTTTGGGGAGCTTTATTCCGAGCCCCCCATAATAAGTTTCAAAGAGCAAATATATTCATTATGTTATGAACAAACCACAGACTGCCACTATTTCAGGTATTTGTAGGCAGTGTTGCGCCTAAATATAACTGTGGAGTCATTTTTCCAAAATCCAAATATAAAGCCCTATTTCTATCCTCCATTTGATTGGAACCATTCAACCATCCTGGTAGATAATAAGTTTGCATGTTCTTAGATTGCATTTCATTATGCTTCAGTTCCCCTAGAGAATAAACATGCTCTTTTTCCCAGCCATCTTAGAGGAGAAATACTTCTGACATCTCACATTTCAGAGTCTCAGGAAGACGTCCCTCTTCTGGACATCAAAGTCATTTTTCCCCTGGACATTAATTTGTTAAATAAAAGAAGGCAGAACTCCTTCATGGCAGCCAAAATACCTATTAATTTAGTTTCCTAAGCAAAATGAGTCTACATCAAAATAATCCCATCTTGTTGGAATTCACAAATGCCAAAACAACAAGAGAATGCTAAAAAATCACGTTTGCTTTGAGAATCCCTTTTCTTTGTCATGGAAGTACCAGTAACTGAGATCAGTTTAATATATTTTGTCAGAGTTGCTAAAGAGTGTTTTTGTATTTAATTTCATTTTTAGCTTTCGATAATGTTCAGTGAAGATGTCTCCAATGGTCATTTGAATTTTTGTTTTTTTGCTTTTCGGGTTTTTTTTGGTGGGGTGGGGGGGTTGGAAGGTACTGAGGATTGAACTCAGGAGCGCTTGACTACTAAACCACATCCTCAGTCCTATTTTTGTATTTTATTTTGGAGACATGGTCTCACGGAATTGCTGAGAGCTTTGCATTTGCTGAGGCTGGCTTTGAACTTGTGATCCTCCTGCCTCAGCCTCCTAAGCCACTGGGTTTACAGGTGTGTACCATCATGCCTGGTTGGCCTTTTGAGTTTTTCAACTAGTTTGTTTTATTCAGAATACACTCTTGGACTAGGATGAAATAAGATGAATAAGATCCTTAACTTCATAGAATTAGTGAAGTTTGTAATCTAGAGGCAGATGATAAATAAGTGAATAGAGTGATTTTTAACATAAAACAAAAAATGATATAAATGAATAATACAAAGTCATGGAATAGAAGGGTTAGGAATACAGGAAAGCTAATTTACCTACGGTACTCTCAAAACTCCTTCAAAGGAGACACTTTGAGCTTAGATAAAAATATGAGAGCCCACCAGAGGATGTGTTAAGGAATGTGTGTTCAGCAAAATAGCAAGAAAGGCCTTTCTGTACCCTACCATGTAGAACCTCTGGCCACTAAAGCAACTCTCAGAGAAAAGGGATTCCAGTGTCATGGTCCTAGAAATTGACCAGGCTGGTTTGCAAACTCAGACCCTGTTATTCCTAATGTAGAGCTCTTTCTATTTCACCATGATTGCATGACCCTATTACTCTGCTTTTTTAAAAGAACATGCAGAATTATAACCACAAAATGCTTATCAAGATAACCCCCAAACTGAAATAAGCCCATCTACTTAAAAGAATCTTGACTCTATCTTCTCCCTTGTAGAAGAATGCCAAATCAATTATGCACTACACAAAGGAGATGCACAAGTCCCACGTATGTGTAGATTGCACATAGAAACTTCCTCCCAAAGAATAAGGTATGGAAAGGGTAGCAGAGGAGCATTATAGTTAAGAACCCAAACACCTCAGATGGGTAATCAGGTTCACATCAATAGTGATAAATCATGTGAATATCCATGAAAATAGTGCTTTATATTTGTAAGCTTCCCCTCCAAAATTCATAACTCCAATCATCAAGAAAACATCAAGCAAATTCCAATTGGGCCACACGCTATCTATCTGATATTTCTCAACACTGTAAAATCATCAAAAATAAGGAAGTCTGAGAAAATGTTACCCCTAATATAAACTTACACATGATGGAATGTGGTATACTGGATAAGATTCTGGAACATAAAAGGCAAATCTAAAGCACTATGAATAAACAATGAGCTCTAATAAAAAATGTTTCAATATCAGCTCATTAATTGATCCAAATGTACCATACTAATATAAGATTAGTAATAATTAGTAATAATGTGGGAAAATTGACAGAAGAGAACAGTATGAGTCTATAATATCTGTTGAGTTTTTCCATAAACCTAAAACTGTTCTAAAAAAAAGTCTATTAATTAATTAAATAAAAACAGAATCTTGGTCAAAATAAAACAAAATTAATTAGAAAGAAAGATGCCCACAGTCATATTTTGCCATTAATGAAATGACCCTCCCTTCTAAATGGCACATGAAAAATCAGAGATAGTCATCTTGCAAATGAGGGGGGAAATGCTCAGAAAGAAGAAGATGATGATAAATAAATCCTATTTTAAATAGGTAATTACAGGGCTGGGGGTATGCCTCAGTGGTAGAGCAATTGCTTAGCATATATGAGGACTTTGGTTCTATCCCCAATACCACAAAAATATAAAATAAAAAATGCAATAAGAGGTGATTACAGACTTCATTCTGTTTTAAAATTTGAGACATTCTAAATTTGAAACTTTCTGTTTTTCATAAAAACAGTATGTTTATTTATTTTAGCACCTAACTCTCTGCAACATGTACAGATAAAATAGTCTACTAGCCAATCTTAGGTGAAGAGATCATCCATGTATGGAATAGCCCCAGTCTGTCAAGCTGCTCACAATGAAATAAGCATCCTGTGTTTCCTGCTAATACTGCTCTACATAAGCAGTCCTTATCTTATATAACATGGGAAGCATGATCAATCAATCAATAAATGCCATTT